AAAAGCCCTTTTCTCCGACTCTAAATGAACTTTATTTTATTCTTCACGTGGATACGAATAATAAAAAAATTATCCCTACTTGTCCTAAGAGTGGAGCTATTTTTTTCATTGTAGTTTCATTCATCATCCCGAGTCTTAAATCGGTTGTTTGTAATAGTAAATGAGTTAGAACTCAGAAATTGTTCTATAGTTAGATGACGTATAAAATCAAAGTAAACATTAAGTTAAATGCACTGCACATTTTTGAAACTTTGGATGTCCAGCAGTGCGTATTTTGCAAAAGAAAAGTAAGTGAAAGTCTCTCTTTAAAGATCTTAAATTGTGTAAGTAAAAACTCAGAGTCCATTTCTAAAAATGTCATTTTGACTTCGGGTATAAAAGTGAGTTTTTTTAGTTTATGGTAAGAGGAATGTTAACGCTTTCAATTATCTTTTTGTCTTTTACGTTTACTGAAAAGAAAAAGTCTATTACAAGTACCTGTCTTATCTAGTATATAAAACATGACAAATTCTTAAAACTATAATCAGACGACGCGAACAATAACACCAACAACAAGAGCTTACGTGTGTAAATAAAGATAATTCTATATAGAATTAACGACAATGTTCAATATACTCTAAGGTGATTCTATAAATGTGTCGTTAATCAACACCTGAAGCTCTTCATTCTCAAGAAACATCACATACCAATCAACGCTCGTTAGTATCGTGTGAAAAACTAATAGTGAACAAAATTATGCAAAAATTTGATCCAGTCCGTGTTGAAAATTTGCTAAACAAGATTAATCACTTTGTTGAATGTTTATCATCCTGTTCAAATAATGAAAGCAAATCGTCTAAGTCAGCAGCCTATCAAACATTAGAGAAATGGTATTCGAATATGGTGAATAAATTAAAAGAAACATATTTGAAAAAACGTGATGAAATTGATCGACTCAATCGAAAATTAAATGAAGAATATCATACCGATTTAATTAGTTGTAAAACGTCATTACAAAATATTCAAGATCGTATAAAGAAAACATCAAATTCAAATGTTGATGCTATTGAACAGCAAGTCAGTTCATTGCAAAATCAAATAGATAGTTTAAAAAAACGTCCAACATTAGACATCAAAACGAATTTGATTCCATCTATGGATGACCTTATTCTTGTTTCGTTACCACTACGTAAGAAAACAGCACAGGATTATTTATTAAAATCAGAACCGATATTCGCAGAAAATATACCATCTGGCACTAGTATGGCAGCATCGAATACTCATTTACTACTGGCATCTGACGATGGAGAAATAGCTATTTTTGATATGTACGGCAAAAGGCAAAGTATGATTTGGAAAACATTAGTTGAACAATATTATTCCATTCATGAATCAAACAGGTAATAGATCACTTTATTGGTATATATTGTTGATTTTAGGTAAAGTGGCTGGCTGAAAAGGATATTTTAGAGAGACTTGCTCATGAGCATACCAAAAAAATTTGAATGGTATTCTTAGGAGAAAGTTTTTGCTGCAGACAAAGTTAGCCTTGAGAATCAGATACTATGTAGGTGTTGTTTATGTATTTTTGTTCTTCTACGTTTCTAGTAAATATCTTAGCGAAGAAGATCGTCCAACTGATACAACATGGTCATCTTATCTTCAATCATTTTTAATTTTATCAAGAAATAGCTTATTTACTTTCGATATTGATACAACAATTAGAATAACTGAAAAGATTTCATTACCAGCCTATTCAGTAGAGCAGATAACATGTTATTGCAACCATTTATTTCTATGTTATTCAACTGGAACATCACAGCTTATCCAAAAGCGACAGCTTCCATGGCAAATGGATCAACATACGTCGTGGCCAAAGAAAAAGATTTGTTCATCACATGATGATTGGATTAAATCAATTGAAACTAATGGCAAATATCTTGCAATGAGTATTAGAAATGTTGAACGAGAATGGCGTGTAGAAATTCGTTCGATGAACATGGAACTAGTTCAGGTCATCTTGTGTACAAATATTCAACGTTGTTGTGAATTAACAGCAGACTGTTACGGTGGATTTGTTGCGTTTGAGTGGGATGGAACCAATTGTATATCAATTAAAAAAGATGGCTCTCATCTAATGAAAACATTTCAGAAAAAAATAAAAAATATTATCTACTTTGATACAAAATACGTTACATTACGCACTAATCAACAAATATTACTTTACCAAACGGCTAAATGATCTCATCATTGCGATACACTGTTATACAGATAAGCCGTATATATGTGCAAAGTAATATTAATATGAGCTTAAAAAGTACTACTCAGGAACAGTACATCAAAATGATGTTTTGACGCTTTCATTTCTCCTTAGGATGTTGAGTGTTATGAAGTTTCATTAGCAAACATGTTATTCTTCTAATGCTTCCGTGTATCATCAGTAATATTAACATCAATGTTAATAAACATTATGTGTTCTTATTATACACTTTCTACGTCTTTTTTGCTACACAACAGAAAAAATGAAGGACGGAACAAATTTCTCCCACTTCATAATCATTTATATGGTATAATTTTCTTTCTTTGTAGAAGAAATCGTTTTGTAATACGAAACCAAACCCATTCATCTTGAAAAAAAACTCAACTGAAATTCTTCCTCAATTGTGTTTTTCAAGATCACTCAGTGGACTATATAAACATACATTGATTTTTCCATTAAGGCATCAACACAATCACTTTGTTCCTTTTAGGATTTCTGTATTAGAAACTTCGAGGAATGCGAGCCAGCGAGAACTGTTATAAAAATATATCTTTTTTGGATAAAATAAATTCTAGGATGTCCCAATGGACTCTTTCTTTACGCTTTCTATAAGGCTACTCTTTAGGCTGTATTGTTGATCGACGGTCATTTCTGAATCATGAACAATCAACGCTTAAAAGTTCTCGCCGTTTTATGAGCTTCTCTTGGTTTGATCATTATAATGAGGCTTGTTCAATATTATTGAAATTCTATTCTTCATTAGTCATGTTCTAATGAACGGTGATACTGTAATGTCTCCAACAGCGATGACAAATAATAATATGCATTTATGATTCGATTATTGTTCTTTATGTTTCAATATCACGGGAACTTGAGATAATTCTATCTCTTCTTAAATTATGGAATTTTATGTTGATATATCAACAAAAGATGTATGAACAGCACACTTGACATGCCCAAGTAACTAACGATACACTTATAACATCTAATGATCCCTGACTGCTGTTAATAACAAAAACACGGTTAGTTTTTCCATCCATCAGTTTATTATTTTCCTTAATACTATTGTGTCGGTCGTGTCTTATTATCGCTGTACTCTTTTCGAGAACAGAATTGTGTTGTACAACAAACACACGCTGGTTAATCGTAACTATTGATTTTACACTACAACTGTTATCACATTACTTCGGTTATTCGACATTCACTTGGTTAAAGTTATTCGGAACATTTATTATATCCTATTTATCAATCGAACTTTTAAAGATGTTTAAAGATATAGAATTTTGGGGTGAATTGATATCATACGGTGGTGGTGGATGGATCCTAAGTTTAAATGACACGTCCATAGTAACTCGATTAATCAACTTAGTGAAGCCAATATTTGATACATATTCTGAACTGCCCATGATTTCATGATTCATGATTTTCACTCGAAGTAGGGCTGCTATTATACTGATCATCATGATTTTTATTGATGTTCTCTAACGACATATAGAGAATGCTTCTATGGTATCGCTGGACTGTGGCATAAAACCATTTTTCTACAAACTCTTTAAACCTAAAACATTGTCGCATGTTCTATTCGTCACTATCTTTGCGTTATTCATGTATGATATATACTGTTATATGCATGACTTGAAACTTAAAGGCTATGTCTGGTTTTATATGGGTGTAGAGAAGTTTTCCGAACTTCGGACATTTAACATAACATGATAAAAAATTTTGAATCTCAACCTCAAAATTTTAAAAGGTAGACGTAGTGGTAACATTTAATACAGATAGCAGTGGCGTATAACGTCCAACATGGAAACTTAAAGTTGAAAACTGTTGATAAAACGAAGGATTACATTTGTGTAAGTACAGTTTAATAATTTGTTGACTCGTCGCATCGTGTCTCGAGGTTAAAAGGATCCGTATAAATAGGTCGATGGTGCATTTCTGAATTTCATGCCTTATGCATCACAATTATTGGCTTCGAACACCTTTTTTATTTGCGTAACGTTCTCCATCATTTAAAGTACTAGTATGTTTTTTCAGGCCTGAATGACTAGAAAGAGAGCAAGAGCCTCAAGAAGCACACAGTTTTTCCCCAGTATCAAGTTAACGCTCCAGAAAAGTGTTTGAAATCAGTTCTTCATTTCTACGATAGAGAAAATGAACCTATCATTTCAAAGCCTGAGTCTCAAAGGATTGCAAGATACAAGATGACCAACCATATATAAAATTATCATATGACGTACTTATAATGCAGACCGGATACTGGCGTTGACAACAATTACAATACGTATTATTGGTTGACGTGCCCAGCTTGAATCAAATATGTGTAATCGAATATGTGCTAATTTTATACACTTAAGTCTAGACTTTGACTTCAGTTTTTTCGTGACACGACCCCTGCGTCTATATGCTGTACAATGACTGAAGTTGTGCAATCGAGCCGATGGTACCAGTAGTCGTTTTTTTTTAGTATGTTTTGTGTGTAATGTTTTTTATGTAATATTTTCTTTGTTCGACGGCTTTTTACGATGATCTTTCTAAAGAAGTAAATAAATTGAACTTCAGTTTATAAAAATGACTTGGACTTTGGAAAAAATTAAGACTCGTCCACTTCTCAGTCATAGATATATCGAGCTTTTGACTTTTTTTATTAAATAAAACTGTCTTAGTTAAAATAAAAATATAAAAGCGGTACATCGATCTCCCAGTAATGTCACAACTACGTGAAAATGTTATCTGACCCCAGTAACAACCGACAAAAAAAAATTCTGATATCACAATTTTATAACAACTTCTTATTTTGAACCTAAACGTAATTCGATCTGGTTAACTGTAATGACATGCATATACTCCTTGTTCTTTTGAAAGAAATCGATTACTTTTGGTAGCATATCTGGCCAAGACTGTTTAAATTCCATGTAAAGAGGTTTGACATACTTCATACGACCATTTTCTTGAAGAAAATGGAATATATCTTCTAATACTGGTTCATATTTAGCTCGAATACATAATTGATACCATCGATATTTAATTTCACAATTCGTATAACGTTTCATATCGTAGATTTTATTCATCGAATCGATATCAAAAGTGGTATTTGTCTTCGTTAATAGTAATAAATTTAAAAAATATTGAATTTGTTTTGCACTCATTTGATCTACAGTTTCACGATCAAATTCACCACGTTTTGTTTTTTCAGCTAATTTAAGACACTGTTCCTCAATTGTTGTATGAAAATTAGTTTGAAAGGGTGGCATACCGACGCCGTACAACCATTTATCCCAATCAATTTGATTAATGGTGGGTAGATCGTGAAAATAGTTAACAAAATATTCTTTAAAATCATTTGAATTTAATATTTTATATTGAAATGTTTTGATATATGAACGCAAAAATTCGTTGAATTTTTCATCCGACCCAACAATTTGTTCCTCTAAATACCACAAAAATGCGGCACCTTTGTAATATTGAACTAAAACGAAAGCAAAATTTTTATTAATTAAAAATAAGAAACAAATTGATTGGTGTACAACTTAGAGATTATGCTTAAGTCAGAGTTGGACAATTCAGCTCCGGTGTTGAAAATCTTTAATTGTGGAGTTGGACTTTTCTTTTTAAATGACCAAAGTTGAGTTGATGACAGATCTTCTCAATTCCAAGTCCGAAACCTCGGCTCAAAATTTCTTCAACTCGATTTTCTTTTTTTTCGCGGAGGGGCTTTTTGTTTAGCTTTTATCTATTTTTGTCGCAAGAGATATAAACATGGTTGTATCCATGCCAACACGGGCACACGTTAAAGTACTGATTCAATCGTCTCCCGAAACAAGAATCTTGTCTGAAATAGAACAAAAAAGTTGACTAGTGTGGGTTCAAACGGGAGAAAAAGAGAAAAATGTGCTCAGTTTGTGATAGTCTTAGTTCTTAGAATAGTGGTCATGCTTATTAGTGATCAAATATAATCTACTTGTATTGTTAAAAAACAGGAAAGAAAAAGAACGGGCATATTTTAATTCGGAGCTGAAGTTGTACCTAACCGAAGTTGCCCACCTCTGGCTTAAACAGCTTAAGAATTTGTAATAGCAATGAACGAAGAATAGATCTTTAGTTTCTGAATTATTTAAAATACATTGTCGTTCCCTTAATTTGCTTTTGTCTTTAAAATTGTTTTTCTAGACTGTATGCACTACATTCTTAACAAACACAAATGTTATTTGAGATACTAACCAGTACTATACGCATCATCGGGATCAACATCTTCTAATTTATATACTAATGCTGTATATTTATGTTCAACACCCCAGACAATTTCAATTGTTTCTTTTAAATCGTTCATTTGTTGAGCACTATGAAAACGACGAATATCATTGCCATTGATTTTTAAATTACGTTCACCATCAGCCTTTAAATTTAATAGACCTAATAGCTTAGCTTCAATAAAACTTGTTAATCCTTCATTCAACCAAAAATGTTCCCAATTTTCATTTGTTACCAAATTGCCTAATTAAAAGAGAAAAATGAAGAATTACTGTGTTTGTGCATATAACTTCGAGAAGAGAGCGTAACGTCAAATAATTATACATTACCTGTCCAAGAATGTGTTATTTCATGAACAATCGTACTTATCAATGAGCGATCTCCGGCAAGCAAGGTAGGTGAAATAAAATTCATTGTTGGATTTTCCATTCCACCATAAGGAAACGAGGGCGGTAATACCAGAAAATCATATCGTTTCCATACATAATCTCCTAATAGTTCTTCAGCTTTACTTAATAACAATTCCGTTGATTTAAATTCATATTCACATTTCTCTAGTTGATCTGGCTCAGTCCATACCCGACATCGTTTTCCCAGATCTTTTGATTTCAAAAAGCCAGACACAATGGCCACAAGATACGATGATATGGGTATTTCTTGTTTAAAATAATAAATGTTTTCTTTTTCATCTATTCGATCGATTGGAGCACTCATCAATACGACTAGTGGTTTTTCAACTTGAATACTGGCATCGTATGTCGATTTAATACCTGGTGTATCCTGACATGGATAAAAACTTCTAGCATGTATTGCCTGACATTGACTGTACATATAAGGATATTGCTTAAATGATGTTTGTTTTGCTTTCATCCATTGTAATGCGAGACATCTGTCGGTTGTTGAATAATAGATTCGCGTTTTGATTTCTTCTTTATCCCGCTGTTCTTGTGCTAACTGAATATGAAGTGGTTGACCAAGGGCTTTGTGTTCTGTACCCAGTGAATACTGCAACTCAATATTCGTTTTTACATCAATTATTTGTTCAACTCGTTTTATTTGAAGATGACGTGTATCAAGTATAAGTTCATTAGAGTTTTGTCCTAAATGTGGTATGTCCTTGATATTTCTAATACTTGACGATACACTATATTTGTCTTGAGATACTTTTCGAATATTTAAATCGACATAACCATCGACAATTTGTTTATTAAAATCGACAATTAAATTAAATGATGTATGAACAATACGATAACGATTGAAATTCGATAATGTATTTGGATCATAAAATAAGCGATCCTGACTATTGGAATCCATCTGAAACAACAATAATTCAATGTAGGTAGAAAAAGAAATAAAATTCGTGGGACTTTTGCGGAATAAATTATTTTTCTATAATAGGAAGTGACTATGATAGAAACATTATGATTAATGGTCATAATACAAGCAAAAACAATCCACTTCAGAACAAATAAGAATAAAAGACTAAAGATAATGTTATTGGTTCTTTTTCACGAGGAAAAAATCAACAATCGTGTTGAAATAAAGTACTCTTATCTTCTTGCTTTTCTTCATCGTTTTATTTTAATTTTTTGCCCATTACCTGTAAGGTTAAAAAAAGCCTACGAACGTGAACAAAACATTTAAGAATGATTGAATGAGAAAAAGTTAACCCTCTGTCGTCAAAACCGATTATAAAATAAAACGCGAATATCTAGGAGAGTGTATCACGAAAGAGAATGTTTTTTTTTACATCGAAACATTCAAAGAAACGTCTCAATGAATCTGCAAAAAAAAGAGAAAATGTTCATATTTATATTTTAGTTTGATTTTCTTACTTGGGAAGAAGAAGAGATGTGACTTTTCGAAACATTGATTCCAGAATAAAGACGACCCCAAATTCGAGTTAAACTTTCCATCTGTTTCACCGATATTTTCATTTTCCCTATAGCCAAGATGAGAATCATGACTGCACACACCCAGAAAATCCTCTGAAACATTACGAGTTTTTAAGATTATGACAAAATGTATTTTCATACGATAAGAAAGAAGAGAAACAGCTGATACAATCCCACGTTACAGTTAAACAAAGGAAAAAATATCAATACTAACTAATCCAAACTCATCAGTAATAACGGTAAAATACCATTCCAGATCAGAAGTCCATAAGAATTTCAACTGAAGAGAGGCTCTACGATGAATATGGCGCTTCAGAAATACGAAGAAAAACTGTCTTGGAAAAGGATAAATGATGTTTGCCATGTCAATGAACAAGCAACAAACTTGACGATAACTTCACGATTAAGGCCCTGGAGTCAGAAATTTATTTCGGTAGCCATAAGTGTGATCTGAGCGAAAATTGTAGGGAAGATTGGACATGTTGAGGAATGGTCACTGCATAAGCTTGGTGCCTCCATCTATGATCTTTTAGGAGATGTCGCTCGAATATGGGTCAAAATGAGGCATCTACTGTCCGGCAGATTTCTCTCAGAAAACAGCTGGTACGCTAAGGCTAGTTTTAAAATATAAAATGAAGTTAGAGTAACGACGTAACAGAGCCGGATTTTTGAATTTTTTCTCTGTTTTAATTTCCGAAGGATTTCTCCTCAAAACTTCGAAAAAAGCGCAAACACTGTAAAAGAATGGTGGCCTAAATCAAAAATCGGGCTCTGTTACGTTGTTCCCATATGTCTTAGCTTCAATCTAATATGAACCGATGATCTCTAGCGCTTAATGCTTTGACGGAGAAATGTTCCGGATAGTGTTTATCACCTAGGAAAGAGTCGCTTTTGAGATATAGTACTAGTATAGTGTATGACCAGAATTCCCAGATCCTCAGGTCAGAAATGCGGAATAAAAATCCCAAAATGCGGAAACTTGCGAAAAATTTTTCTCAGAATGCGGTCAAAAAGCGGAAACACATTTTCATGGTCTAACTTCAGCCGTTTTCACGCACAATCACAGAGTTGCCAGCTGGAGTGCCATAATCGACGCGGTTTTTCGCTGTATTGGCATTGATTGTGGCGCCTGAGCTGGCAACTGCCGGCACAGAGTCAAAAAAATGTTTTCTCTAGCTAAGCACTTTGTGGTTTTATTCAATAAAACACAAGAGAAAAACAAACAGAAATGTCCTGATTTTAGTTTGACACGTTGTTTTTTGACTATATATTTTTGACTAGAATGAATAAGTTTAAGCAGATCTGGTGTTGATAAGAAATAATTATAAATTTCAGTACATGATAACGATGAGTTTAAGCGAATTTTTAACTCAGCTGCAATCATTTCTGTCGACATACGATTTCTTTTATTGTTAAATAAATGTTTCGTGGAAGAAAATGCACTTTCGACGTATGAATTACTGCACGGAATCGAAAATATAAACGAAACTAATTTGTGCATGTTTGGAGCCTCCAAACATGCACAAATTAGTTTCGTTTATATTTTCCTTTTTCGGGTAAGGTATCTTGCCCGATCAGGCAATCTTTTGTCCTTGCCTGATCGGGCAATATTGCTCGAACGGGCAAGCTTGCCCTATCAGGCAAGGTAATCCTGAGGCAGATGTAGTTGGTCAGTCTTCTGACCGGACAGGAAAACACCGTATCATCCAAGGAAAACTCTATTTGATGCAGGTTTTGCCGCTCTGTCATGTAGAATAAGTGTCTACATGAAACGCTATAGCTTTGATTTATGCGCTATTCCATTGAAAGAAAAAAGTGTGAAAATCTTGCCAAAACGAGTAAGATACTCCTTGCCCGATCGGAACGTATTACTTGTCCGGGCAATCTTATCCGATCGGGCCAGAAAGCGTGACAACGGACTGCCTATAGGAAGAATATTTCTGATATAAGCTTTATTCTCTCAAAATACAAGTGGAAAAATGCTCCATTATAGTGTTTAATTCTAACTAAAACTATCGAAAAACACAAAATCAATTTTGTACGCATAGACATTCGGATCAGAGACCATCGCAGGACAAATTTTTTCTCTGTCCTGTCAGAAAATTACTCATAAAAAATTTTTGGTCCGGCCCTGTCCTGCAGCGGAAAGTTTTTCTCCTTAACCTAGAACAATTTATCTTCAAGAAACTCACCACAAATACACTCATCCTATTGTCCTAGTAGGATGAGAAAGAGAATCCTCAATAGATAGACATTCTTTTTTTAAATGTTATATGTAAACAGGGGAAAAACAGCAAAAGCAGACACTTCTCAAAATGCGGACAAATAACGGACAGTGGACAAATTACGGAAAAAACTCCAAAATGCGGACCATCTGGGAAGTCTGTGTATGACACATGCTATAGGGCTCTTAATAAACCTCATAACTTTTGATCAAACCATCGCTCGGTGTTGGGAGACGTCTCATTTTAACCACAAATGTTTACTCTACGAATTGAAGTCACTAGAATCCTTTTTAATTCCGATATTTCATCGCAATGTCAGAATTGCAGAAAAATCAGGTTTCTAGGACATTTAGAAGATTTGTTCAAAATCCTCCAGAAACCTTTGATATTGGCACAAATAGTATGGATCTTCAATCATGTACGTAGCTCAATATGGACCTTTTATGGAAAAATTTATATTTCTGACTCAGGGGGAGGGGAAGCGTTAAAAGAGAAATATATAGTATAGTAGAAGGTAACGCTCATCTGTACTCTCTCTGTTCCTTGATTTTAGGAACTTATATTTGTGAACGACCTTCCATGACTTTTGAATCCAAGACAACGCTCACATCTTGAATCTTGAGACAATGCTCCCGCTTTGAATATTTTCTCTCCCGGGGTTATAAGCCATGTTCATACCACATTCTTGATCTCTGATTCGTGTTACTAATTTGCAACATCAACCAAAAGCGTTAGATTAATCCTCGAGTAAATCTTGTTATGTGAACATCTCACATGCCCTTAAAAACATTTCGTTTTCTGTTTTTTCTCTTATGATTGGTTAATCCATGAAATATCTGACAGCCATTTTTCCATATTTTGGACACACAGACAACCATTTTGTAAGAGGTACCCTAGACGAAAATCAAGGGAATAAGGAAAAAAATGTTTAGTCAGCAAAGTTTGCACTGAAAATTTTTTTGTATGGCTACTGTATTTTCCTGTTCTTTGGATATATCTTAACATGTTTCTTCTTAACATGTCTTTGTTAAGATACAAAAATTATGTCAATCATGGTGACTTAGCAAAATAAATGCTTAGAAAGTGCCATGTCACGCTGATCAAAATATAAACAGTGCGCGATTCTATACCTATATATAATAAATAAAACGTTTTTTCTCTGAACAGTATTCATAGTACAGTAGATTAATCAAACACATATGGCATCTGTTAAGAAAATTGCTGTTATTATCGGTATGATGAATAAAATGGTGCAGTCAAAACAAAATAATTTGTTTCTTATTTTTTTCTAGGAGTTGGACCTGGCTTAGGAGCGTCTCTTGCAAAAAGGTGTGTCAACTGTAAACTGCTAAGTCTCTGACATTTGTGCAAAAGGGGACAAAAATTACAGTTTACCATTAATTTGCTTCAATTCTCAGTTCTTGTTTATTATTTTTTTGATAGATTCGCTACTGGTGGATATTCAGTTGGTTTAATCTCAAGAAAAAGCAGTAATTTAGAGCCGGTTCAAAAAGAATTAGAACAACAGGGTCAAACAGGTGCGATACTCTGTCTCGTTTAATCACACATTTGTCATAAGTGTCAATTTTTTTTCAATTCTAGCTCTCAGTGTTACGGCTGATGCGGGCGATGCAAAATCGTTACACCAAGCTTTTGATACTATCAGAACAAAATTAGGTGATCCAGAAGTATTAGTTTTTAATGCAAGTGGCTTCGTCTCTGGTGAGTTTTATTTTAAAAAACAATCATTCTTCTTTTAAAATATGATATTAAATTGTTGCTGTGCTGCTCGGTTACAGGTGGAATTTTAGATATAAAAGCTGAAGATTTACAGTCATCATTTAACGTAACTGTTATTGGTGGACTGGTTGCAAGTCAAGAAGTGAGTAGAAAAGCCATTTATAAAATGTAAAAGCATTCTGATAAAATTCACTCGTTTTACGTTTAGGTAATTCCAGGTATGTTAAAAGATGGAAAAGGCACGATCTTATTTACAGGTGCCACAGCGAGTATGCGTGGCGCAGCCAAATTTGGTGGTTTCGCCATTACTAAATTTGGACTTCGAGCACTTTCTCAATCGATGGCGCGTGAGTATGGACCGAAAAATATCCATGTTGCTCATGTAATAGTAGACGGTCAAATCAATACACCACAACAAGTCAAAGGTTGGTTATTCCATAACTTTTGTACAACTAAATAATATTCTATTCGTTTCTATCAAGGACAACCAAACAAAGATATCGATTCATTTTTGAACAGTGATGCAATAGCTGAAACGTATTGGCAACTCCATATTCAACCAAAATCAACATGGACCCAAGAAATCGATTTAAGACCATTTGTTGAGAAGTTTTAGAAATTGAAATACATTTACATTTATAACATAAGTTGGTTTGGTACCAGAATGAAATCGAGAATATAAATTCAATTATATCATTTTGAAACTTAAACTATCAAAACACAAAATCAATCCTTGTATCAAGCTTTGATCGAACTTAATAACGTAGCTTACTTTTTTTTAAACTTTATAAAGCATTTACACTACTTGTTGTTATCTAATATAAATCTAAAAACATTCCTCGAGATCCTCAGAGGTTTAAAAATATTTTTAAATTCAAGACAATGCTAACAGCTTATGAAGATTCCAAGGGGGTTGGAAGTATTTCTGATCGATTCGCTATGGTAGACTATCTATATTTTGTAAGTTATATTATCTGTAGTCAGCTTTTTTGTGTTATAACTGACTGATTTCTGGCAACATCTGTCTGGGGACTACAGAAAAACTTCGCTTTTTTTCTCTCTTCATCAGTAGATATTTCAGGCCATTACTTTGAATATTTTCTCTCGTATGGTTAAATAAAATTTTCTATTTTCTCCCTTATGATTGGTTTATCCACGGAATATCTGACAGCCATTTGTCTGTATTTTGCGCACACGCAGACACAGACAACCGTTTTGTAAGACCCTAGGCGATAGTATAAATGTTTTTTAAAGCACACTTTGTTTTTCTTCGTTATTAACTGGTACAGATCTAATATAGGCGTATTCAGTAAGGACTAGTAGTGATAAGAAGAAGAATGTTTACGCAGATAACATGTACGATGATCGAAAGGCTGCGACCTGTAGAAAGGTGGCCCTCGCCGAGCAAATATCAAGAAAAAGGGATATAATAAGTCTCCAAATTGCTATATGTATGTTTCAAAATAAGAATAAACAGCAAAAAGGAAGGGAAAATATAAACACAAAAAGAAGACGCACACTAATACTCAAGTCTGAAATGCTTGCGTCTAAGAGAAATTAGGAAGAAAAAATTGTGTAAGAAGGGAGACAGTATTTTTTCCCGAGTAAAACTTTCGATTTTGCCGACATGATTTGTTTATTTTAGAATAAATTTAGCTTAAAAATTTCGAATTCAAATTTTTATTTATCTTAGTCAGTTTTCTCTCATTTGAGCTCTGTAGATAGTTTATTTTAATTAAAGCTTAGGGACTTTTTAGCTCTGTTTCAAGTAGAAGAAAATTAAGTTATAGGATTGATCAATGATTGGCTGACTCATCTAAAATATGATGAACAACAATCATTAGTTATCGTTGAAGGTTTCGACGATTATATGATGGCCATTTGACTTAAACATATATTTATTGAATTCTATCAGACATTGATAATGCGACAAGATTAACATTATTGTGAAGAATTGTCTGATCTATCTCATGAAAACCAAAAATATAACAACAGATTGTAGTTTGGCAACATATTCATGGGTAAAACAGATATCGTATTATAAATTTGAATTTTGAATTAAGTTTGTTAATCTCTTTGTTATAATTTTCTTTTTCAACAAAGTTTATTGTTCTCTTGCTTTTTCAACTTATTCATTCGATTTTTTTCTAATCGAATAACTGTTTCTGTTTAATTTTTCTTCAAATGATTAAAAATAGTTTGCAAGCAATAAATACAAATTTTCTTTATTATTGGCCTCGTTTAGTTTACATGTTTTGATTTATTTGATACGTGAACCTTTTCTAGACTATTTAAACTTGAATGTCTTGATTAAAATAATAGGCGTCAGAGCTGGACGAGTCTGAGTCCAAGTCATGAAGGTAGCAAAGGGAGTCCATTTCGAGTCCGATAATTTTTGAAACCTGTTTTGGCTTTTTGTTATTTATATTTCTTTTCGCCTATGCCGTACAACACATCAATCATATTATAACAGAAAAAGTTACATAAGTAAACTTTTATTGCATATTCCATACTGATATTGAAAAACCGAACATTTGTCTGTTGATTTATGTAAGAACGTGAATCGATCGGACTCGAAACACAAAAACTCAAGTTCGAGTCTAAGTCTTTTAGAGAAATCTCCAATTCGGACCCGCCTAGCCCTGCTAGGCGTAGCGAATTCAATCCCAAACATGTCATTTTTAGCACAGAAATAGTCGGGTTTACTTGAAGCAGATCTCTCGGTAACCGCATTTACTCAATGTTACTAAATTTGCCTTCGCAGAGTATTGATCTATTCTGAACTATTCGTTTTTTCATAGATTGTTTTTTGTAAGATGACAATAAATTTAATGAAAAGAATATTTCCAGGTATACGTTAGAATTACTAGCTTAATGATGCCTTTTTTTATAAATTTGTTCTATTTGCTGTAGGATGTACAACGTTAGTAAATCCGTCTCAGTTAGTTAAAAATCTCGTGCAAGTGCGCTTCAAAATGACTAAATCACGACGTTTACGTGCACCATCCGTTGCAAAACAAAGTGATAAATGGGTTCAAAAAAAAACAATGTATGTAAGTAGTTAAAGTAAATCGTGCGCGTTGTGCTTGCAAAAAATTTTTCCACTCATAGTGGTCGTATGGAAGCAGACGTTGTTTATGATGAAGACTTTGCTAAGCGAAAGCCGGTTGATCGTGTATGGTTAGTCAATGAATATCCAACACAATACTGGCCAGTTGAAACGGCAATTAAATGGCATGCCGAAATGGCACAACCCGCAATGTTAAATTCAATGGATAGTTTTGTATGGGCAAAACTTCGGTTAGATATGACAACAAGTAAAAAAGTAAATCAATTTTTCTTCTTCTAGTTCATATTTTTCAATTTTGTTTACTTTTTTTTTAGACAAAATTTTTAGATAATATCAGAGGACTTGTTACGTTTCCAAACTATTTTGATGATCGACCAAAAAAAAATGTTGTACTATTCTGCAGGGTATGCTATATAACTGACAAAGTCTCATTGCATATAGATGATATGTTTCTTTCTATATCCAGTTGCCAGATCATCTTAAAGCAGCTGAACGACAGGGTGCATATATGTATGGCTACAGTGATTTAATCAAACAGGTAGTTGGGTTAAACACGTTTGTTAAATATCAAATGAGACAATATTTTCTTCTATAGTTTGAACGTGGTGATATATCAGATTTGAATTATGAATATGTACTATGTGCTCCGGATGTTTATGCTGATATATTACATTTAAGAAAAAAAATTTCAAAAGAAAAATTTCCAAATCCAAACAATGGTAAATTATAAGAGTATTATCTAAGGGGTAAAAGCATCACTTTGCCATTTCACTTCTAGTCAAGTTAATCTGTGACATTGTTATTTCATTGGATTTTTCCCGACTTTTTATATCTGACAAATCTGTTTTTTGCACTGCTCTCAGTTTTATTTACTACACGCGTGTAAGATGGATTGGCCTTAATTAAATCTCTAGCAATTAAACTTTGTTTGTCCCCACGATAAGCAAAAATATATCGGTTAACATCTCTCTAATTTATTTACTCATCTTTATGTTCTTTATTTCCATTTCATTAGTTCAGTTCATGGATACTTCAAAATCACTTCCAGTTGACTAGAAGTGAAATAGAAGTGATGCTTTTTCCCCTTGGTATTACCCTAGAGAAAATGATGTGTACCATGTATTTGTGCTATTTTTAGGTAGTTTACATCCAAATGTCGAAAATATGTTAGAAAAATTTATTCGTGGAAAAGAATATGAATCAACAAAATATGAAGATGCAAAAGCGATATTAGAACTTCGAATAGGCATTGTAAGTACTGTCAGATTGTTTGAACATCAAAGTGTATTAATTTTTCTTATTTTCTTTAGATTAATATGGGTGAAGAAAAATTAATTGAAAATTTAAAAACGCTTATTCAACAAGTTTGTACACATCGTGAGACAAAACTCGGTATGTAAATATGAACATGTACTTTATCTCAAAAACTAACAAGAATTTTGTTCAGGTTCATTTGTTACTTCCTGTTCTCTTTACTGTCCTCCGTCTGTTGAAGATTTTAAAGTTGATATTAAAGAGTATTTACCGTCAGATGAAGATATCTTGGATGTGAAAGAAAAAGAAGAAATAGCGAAAAAAGCTGCTCTAGATAAAATTAAAGAATCTGGTAAAGCGTTTGATGACGAAGCGTTTAAATTAGCATGATACTTTTTTTCCGTGTTGTTTTTTATTTTCATTTTTTTGATAATTCAATTTTGTTTTTAATATATTACAACATAAGGATATCGTCTTTTTAATCAAGCTGTACACAATCTTTTGAGCCACTAAAAGATACTATCTCATTTAGCATAAAAAAAAGTTACATCCTGCTGTTATATTGTTTAAACGCGTTAAGCTACTGTCCTCTGTATTCTGATGTTTGAACATACTTTTTTATCTAGCGATGATCCAAGAAAAAGTAGTTGCTCACATCCTAACGTTTATCCTTTATCCAATCAGTTCATTTAAATGATTCTAATATATCTTCAAAAACTCATCAGTTTTTTCGTCGTGTCAAATTCGTGCAATAATCAAGAAGAATCAAAATAAAAATGGAAAATATAACGTAGATAGGATGAGTGTCGTTGATTATTGAGAATACTCCCCTTCTCTCTCTTTTTCCATCGTCCGGTCAACGGTGAAACCAAAGGTCCGCTTGAGTCTAAATTTATATCAGAAATAAAATCGATCGAAAAAAGAAAATCGATGTATTTTTGCCTCAAACCTATATAACAAAGTTTTAAATATCGTTTTCTTGAAATCTAGCCCTTTATCTGATTACATTGCATTCCTCTTAGAATTTTATCCAATGAGCCCAACAATTTTATCGCAGATCCCTAGGAAGATATCTGAAACCTCATGTTTTTTTAACTTTTCCTTTCTAAGTTATACGGTTTTTAAAATCAAAACCCATAGTTTTTCATCGAACTTTTTTCTTCTTGATAGAATTAAGTGTACGATGGAATTGTAATGTACTTCAATTGGAACTATCAATGTATTGAGTATTGCAGTTAGTATTAGACAGGTCACGTTTTTTAGGGCATTTGCGGCGATGCACAGTGGGCAATTTTTGACTTAGCACATGGACATGTGCTGGAAAAGGGGGACGAAAGTCTCTAAGCATTCTTTTTATAGGTTTTCGTGTGTGCTCTTTTCCATAGCATGATTTTCAAACTTTCAAAGAATGTTTCTACAGGTTTTTCCGAGATCTGGTCTGTGGAAAACCAGTACGAACATACTTTGAGAGTTTGAAAATCATGCCATTGAAAAGAGCGTATACAAAAATCTATAAAAAGAGTATTTAGAGACTACTTTTCTAGCACATATCCCCGTGCCAAGTCAAAATTGCTGTGTCTATACGCTAAAATCGTCGCATTACACTGGATCAAAACATTTTTTGTTCAAAAGTACTTCATATGCACATCATTCGATACAGTTTTATGCGCTGAGTCCAAATACCTCATTGTTTTCCAGAAAACGTACTTCTGGACCGAGAAAAATCGATTTACTTGAAAAGCAACGGTTTTTGGGAAATCCCATATCTCAGTCCAGGTACGTTTGCGCTAGCACTGTAAGTGTATTATGAGTAGAATAATGTTCTGTCAAAATTTTATAAAATTTGGACCTTCGCTAAAGTTCGCGCACTCCTTATACTGAGCACATCTTTTGGGAAAACACTTAGTGTAGAAACAAATATTGTTTTTCTTAACACCAAAAGGTTCGAATCAAATTTTATTTTGCAAATCGATAGACTGAAACGTCTAGTTTAAGATTATGTAGAAACTTTTCAGAAATGGTTTTTAGATTCCATCATAATGTTTGCTATCCCTTAGCGGCCAGATTTTTCGGCTAATTTTTCACAATGCATTTTCCAACTAACTATGGCACTTGGAACAAAAAATTTTATGACATTAGATAGTCCATATTTCAAAGTATATGTGACACCATTTGAGTCTTAAAAAGTGTACTTTCATTTTTTCGCCTACTGTCCATGTAGTTGTTCACTGTGCGATGCTCATTTTTCAGCGATAAAACGACTAAACAATTTTGGAAGATATTTCATCACTTTGCTCTATCAGAGTGTGTATAAGAAAAAGTTTTGAAGACTGTAACATATAATGCAAAATCGTTCAATTGAAGATTATAAACGGCGAGTATTTATAAATAAAATCTAGTGAAATTTGATAAATTTAATTTTAATAGCTGTTTTCATTCATCTACTAAAATAGAGAAAAAAGATTTCGAGTAGAATTCGAATATGGAGCATCCAGGTAGAATTTGGTGATGTTCACAAATAAGAGTTAGATTTTCATACTTGTTTTAAGAAACTTCATTTAACGATATCACCGTTACTAATCCATATCTTTGTCAGATATTCGTTTGAGTTTATTATTTTATCCAGGCAATTTTTTCATTGACATATAATTGTTAATGAACACAGTTGATCATTCATCATTAGAATTAATGATGACTTAATATAATAATATCGTTGATCATTCAGATATGCACGAAAACAACAATATTTTGTCGATAGTAGGTGAACAATCTCGAATTAGCGAGTGTAGAATATTCATACAATTTTAACATGATATTATCAAGTATGTTTTACGAGTTTTTGAGCATTCTATTTTATATCATGACAGATACAACATCATATAATCGAATACTTTCAATTGCCACAAAATGAAAAAGACAGTAACAATTGATCGTCATTACGGTGAATATAACCACTTTTTCAATGATACAAATAATACTCTTTCATCTGATCAATAGATCTGTTGACACCGGCTACTAATAAACCTTGTACTTTTTTACGGGTGCCACGATTCCGATGCTATTTCATTCGATATTATTTCATCTTTTAACAAATTTAGCAGCAAGTTTGTTTCGACCTCAAACCACCAAGATCTTTTTGCCTTCGTTTTATTCGTGCAACTCCGCGTAGTCATTTTTAACAAAAAAAAGTTATTATAAAATTATTATTAGTTAATTATTTATCGATCTGTAACAGCGAATGCCAGAAAAATTCTTTAGTAAGCAAAACAGAGTTCAGGTTGATTAGTTATTGCAGTTGAGCAGTCATATGCAAGCGCCGCTATCATGATCCTTTTTTTGATAGAGGCGGTTAAAGTTAATCGCTATTAAAGATAATCATCTTCCGAACATGATTATTTTTACTCATGATTTTCAAAATAATCGTGATTAAAGTAGCGGTAACACTACTAGTTTAATCACGATTATCTTTAATCGTGATTATCTGCGTAGTGTAACCGTAGTTTAAAAGCTAAATGGCTAGTCATTACTTAAAAATACAAGTGAGATTATTGAATATTCAAAAATATGTAGAGTATTGACGTTTGATAAAACGTAGTAGCTAATTGGTAGAAAAACAGATAACTAGGGTTTCCAACAGTATTGGATTTGACACATACAAAAATATTGCCTGTAAATGTTGAACACGACACTGTTAATGTCAACTTCTTTCACAATCCGTTTTCTATAACAGTCTATAATCATCCCGATGTGCCGAGGCCTGAATTTAGGCAAGGGGTGTGTGTGCAATCTGCCGAAAATAAAAGTTTTTCGTTTCCTCGCAGCGGAACTAAAAAAATTTTTTTTTCTTCACTGCCTATTCAGGTCCCTGTCGATATGATATCTATTTTCACTATTTGGACAGTTTTTTCGCTGTTAATTTGAGGCGCGTATGTATAATTATATCCAGACAAATATTCACAACGTAAAGTTTTTTAAATTTTTTATGTGAACATAGAGGGAGTTTAAACGTCTTTCAAGCAATTTGAATTGGTTTTGAGTGAAATATGGTGTTTTTGAAGTTTTTCTCACGTAATAATGATAATCGCAGATTTTTATATTGTGTTAAATATTTCTTAGAATAAATAAATAAATAAATATTTCTTTTGTATTTTTGAAATACATACTGCAATAATTATTTCTTTTCTAATATAAGAACAGTAGTTTAATTTTCTACAAATTTTTGCGTTCTTATCTTCTTATTTTGCTTTGTAATCATTAATACTTTTTTCATCATTATACTTTTTTTATATATTTATGTTTTAGAATATAGTTTCATTTCATCCCAAAGATGCAGTTACGTTCTGATTTAAATGTTCCATATGTTATTAATTCAAATAAAATTGAATATATCGATTCACCCACAAACGGTGTTCAACGACGTATGCTTGATCGAATAGGAGATGAAGTAGCACGTGCAACAACAATTGTTAAATTTGCTCCAAATAAATCATTTCCTCATCATAAACATGGTGGTGGGGAAGAATTTTTAATATTGGATGGAGTGTTTTCAGATGAAATCAGCGGTGATCATTCAAAATATACCTATTGTCGACATGGTATAGATACTGAACATCATCCATGGACAAAGGATGGTTGCGTATTGTTGGTAAAATTAAGACAAATGAACGATAGAGATGAGAAAGATATTACATTTATTGATGGACAAAATGCAACATCATGGAGAGTAGATGAAGAAATTCAAGGACGTTCAAGATTAGATTTATTTTCAAGTGAGAAAACAGGTGAAACTGTTTGGATGGAAAAATGGGAACCAAAAACACAATTTAAATGGACAGTAGGAGAGGGTGGAGAAGAATTGTTCATTTTAGAAGGAGATATGAATTTTTCAAGTCAAGAACAAAAAGAGAACAGTAATAACAATACTATTCATTCAGATGAAAATACACCAAATCTTGATGTTAATAATAATTGTTGTATCGCTAATTACTGGATACGTCGACCAATATCATGGAAAGGAAGAGAATTCAATGTATGGACAGAGAATGGATGTAGAATATTTGTAAAAACCGGACATTTGGCAATGAAGTTAGATATTCATTAGCCTTTTACATCATAGCTATCCGTTTTTCATTATTTATTTCTTTTAAATAAACAAAATCATACGTTAGTAAAATGTACAAAATGTTTACTAGGTACTGAATAATACAGCGTGATCTATTCTGAAGTAGAAGAATTGAACAGGAGAAGCTGAGTAAAAATGATTTTTTTGACATCTCACGAGGGAACCTCCTGAGGTGCTAAAAACCTTTTTGAGTGGGACTATTTTTAAAATTTAGACCCACATGGACTATGAAGAATCCCAACTTGGTTCGTGCGCAATCAGCTTTGTTGCTGAGATATCGAATTTTTACTCGAATTTTCCCCATAGGACCTGGATTTCAAGCAAAATTGGAGTTTTGAATTTCATG